TAAGCAATGTTCAAACTCAAGTTACTAATACATACCTAACTGAAAATGTTAAAAGTTTACACATAAAATACACTAAACAACGTTTGCATTTAAAAATCACCTAAGTTAATAGTCCCAAAAGGTGAAGCCGGTTGTGATTGGGATTTTGATTTTGATTGCGATTTTGATTGCCTTTTTCTTGACACCATATGAGCTTTGGATTTTGATGATGATCCATATTTTGGTAGAGGAAAAGATGATTGTGATGGCACTGGTGATCCACATGTCAACCTTGTATGACCACTTTCCTTGCACCGACTACATATCGATCTCTTCTTCTCTTCACCCTTAGACGGTATACGATCGTAACTTTTTGGTCGACCAGGTAGCCTTCTGTCCATGGCTAGTGGCAAAACTGTTTGTAAGTCATCTGGTATGTCCCACTCAGAAGGATGTGGAATAGGGTAGATAATCTCGGCATAAGTCTGTCGATATACTTCTGTAGTATAGCAATCCATAGCGTATGCGCTTGAATCATCTTGGTTTAGATGAAGAACAACTTTTATAACATGGCCACACGGATAACCAGATGTTTTCCATTTCATACAACTACACGTCTTTGCATTTAGATCGACAAGCCCATTTAAATTATTATCCAGTACTTCAAACAAAGTGTTTGAACATGGTTCAACTCTCCATGACGTTGACTTCACAACAAGTTTCGTTATCTTTTTTTCAGTCCATGGTGTAACACGATGTTCCAATGTTCCTGCAAATTTAAATAAATAATACTTAGTAAAATATATGATAAGTTACGAATTTAAAGAAATAATACCTGCATGGTTTCTTTTCTTGTAGTACCACTGTTGAATAGAGGCTCGAAAAAACTCCATGAACATAGTAATGGGTAATTTCCGGGAATGACGACTTAGAGCGTTGATTGATTCTGCACTATTAGACGTCATGAAACCATATCTTGCTCCAAGTTGATGTACTCTTGACCATCTTTCAAACCCGACATCTTCTAGTGTTTGAGCACACTGAGGCAAAACACGTCTTAAACAATTTATATGCTTATTAAAATCCATTTCCCGATAAGCTTTTACAGCCTTCCAGTATGTTCATTTGTGATTTTTTATACCAGCAGACCTTGATTTTAGATTTCTATACAAATGAACCACAAAGTCCACACCACAAAGTCCATGAAAAGCATCTGGGAAACACCTTCTAACAGCGTTGTCAACTGAGTTTTCCCTATCGGATATGATTGTCAGATTGCTAATAGGACCTATGCAATCCCTAAGATGCCCCAAAAACCATGTCCATGAATCAAAGGTTTCAGATTTTCCAACCCCGTAAGCTATTGGCAGTATCCCATTGTTAGCATCCATGGCTACTGCTAATAAGTTTACTCCAAGGTATCGACCTTTTAAATGTGCTCCGTCAACTATAATAACTGGGCGCATGCAAGTAACAAACGAACGAATCTACAAAATCATATACACAAGAAATATAATCATTTAAATGTGAAATGCATGTAACTAACAAAAATGAGTCAACAAAATTATATTGATTTACTAACCGCAGCACCAATGGCGATAAAAAGCAACTCAAAGCGTCCATCTCTATCTGTTTTGATATGAGTTACCGACCCAGGATTTTTCAGCTTTAAATTGTGACAATAAGCCGGCAGTTGGGCAAACGATGCTTCTGGCGACCCCCTCAATAATTCCAATGCATAACATTTGGCTCTCCAAGCTTGAGAATATGAGATACTAATCTTGAACCGAGCATTCATGTCTGTCATAATTTCATGTCCCCGATATACCCTGCCATTCAAAAACATTAACTCAGCCAGAAAACCACCCAACACCTTTTTGTTTGCCTGTCTATGGTGAGGAAAAACTTGGGTTCTTGAACATGTATGTTTATCAATAAAAGTCCTAAATTGAAACATTTCACAATCTTTTATCCTCTTTGTAATCATACGCCATGTACAGTTTTTGTCAATCATACACCTTGTTTCAAAACGATCTTTGCTTGATTTGTTAACTTTTAGTTGATAGCCATCTTCCACACATTTCGTATACAAAACTATCTTCAAGTCTTCCTTTGTATCAAAACAATCATCTTTATTGATACAAATAATTTTTGTGTAACAATCAACTGCTACTTTACCAACTCTTCTTCCGGTATCTGAAGTAATTCTGGCATATTCCAGTTATACTCCCGTGGCATTTTCTTGGGGACTTTTCTTCGGTGATTTCTTCTTCTTCTTTTTCTTCTTCAGGGTTATATGAATTACATAATGGATGTTCAACATGTTCATTCACAGTCGTAACTTCCTCCTCATTATCATCAACAACATCTTCCTCGGCAGCGGCTGTTTCATCATCAAAATTCGGGTATTGACCAATATCAAAATCATTACACGCAGGGTCTGTTTCTTCTTCTGAAACATCATCAAAATCCGAGTATTGACCAAGATCAAAGTCCGGGTATTGACCAAGATCAAATTTCGAATACTGACTAGTACTCACAATTTTTTCTGTTGGCTCATTATCGTCTAACTAGTCAATACGAAAACCGGAATTTGGTGCTGAAAGTTGATTGGGATTTGGATTAGGAAAGGTTGTGGGTTTGAGATGTGTTTGGTATTGGAAATGTGGTGAAACAAAATTTGCTTGGTGATAAATTGTGGTGGGACCATTAAATTTGAGCACCATAAACTGGGGTTGAAAAAACTTAGTTGATTACTACCCGCTACTGACCCAACTTCACTACTTCTAGGTTCAACAACATACAATGTAACATCATCTTGCGAAATACTAATGTAAGCAATGAATTCAAATCTTCATTGTCGGTTAACAATAAACTTTATTTTTTCTCTGATAAGATAGCCTAAATCCACTTAAGGGCTCTAAATTCAATTTATTTGCAACACGTAACATTAGAGTTTCATAAGTTAACTTTTTTAATGACAGTTTAGTTGAAGATTCATGGGTAAAGGCATTGTAAAACACCATGAACATTCTCCCATGACCCTCCAAAACACAAATCTATCCAAACATGATCAACATTAGATGATTTCATTATTGTAAATTAATTTACTAAACAAACGAGCTGGGAAACTAAAACTGTTGCCGGATGGGGAAGGATGTCGTTGGATATAGGAACGGATGTCGCCGGAGAGTGATAGATGGAGATGGAATGAGTTGCGATTTAGGGATTTAGGTTATGAGTTGCTGCTGCTGCGTAGTATACCCAAACCTTTGTGTTGCGAAACTAAAACCTGTTGCGAATTTGAAATTCAGCGTTGCGATAGTCAGAATCGCGTTGCGATTATGATTATCGCGTTGCGATTTACATATTCGCATTGCGATAGTCAAAATCGCGTTGCGAATCTGGAAACTGATTTGCGATACTGCAGATCGCGTTGCGATTTAGAGATCGCATTGCGATTTTGTTGGTCATTTTGGCAAATCGAAAAAATGGTCAAATCGTATATTATAAGGAATTTTCGATCACTGAGGTTATTTTCTCGTCTTCTAAACCTGAAGTCAGCATTTTAACTGATATTTGGTCAAATTTGTAATTTAGCTATTATATTTACACTAGAGAAAATACAATAAATTCTTTCTATCATTGCAATGATGAATAGTTAAAACATTTTGATAGCAAAAAATATCCTTAAATTCTTTTATTAATTGAACTCTAACCCAACTCGAATATAAATAATCGAACTTTAAAATCTCTAACATTATTAAAAGTAGAAAATGTTGAATCTTTTATTAGTAAAGAATTTTATATTTATCATGTGTAGAATATAAAAACAAACAAAAGGGATGAATTATGAGAAATAAGTGGTACCGTTAATCGGTTTTTGTAGGTAGGCAAAGGTTTGCGACGCAGGTTGTAAATTTTTGCTTAGCTTAACTCAATGCATGTACTATGTTCTCTCCATCAACTGGACCTCGAAAGGTTTGCTCTTAAAGCCAAAAAAAATGAACCGACCAAACCCGACCGTTCAATGCAAAGGATGAAAATTCTCCGACCTTCACCCACCATCGCAATGGCCTGTATCTTTTAGTCCAGAACTACATCAATTTATTTATCATGCCGCCATGAAAGCAGTCTCGTTTGCAGTGAAGCTGAAAGAGTATAGTTTGCGTAAATTTTAATAAAGTATAAATTACATATGAATACATTGGGGAGACGGCAGCTACATGCATCAAGGTTTCAGCGTACAGTTAAACATGGAGAGGAACTATTTATATACAGGTTCACATAGGCAAATATAGATATACAGTGAACTCTCTTCCTCCAAGCATCATCGGCTTCTCGATGTTGCTTCTCCTTGTGATGTGCTGACCCCCCCCCCCCTTTTTTCCTCATCCTCTCCTCTGGCAATGCCAAAAGCCCTATGCCTTGGCAAACGGACATCAACGTTCGAGACGGAATGTTGATGCCAATTCTCTGTAGGTGCCTGCTGCCGGCAAATTTGGCGTAGAATATTCACAAGATCAATGGCCAGAATCTTCATTATTTCAGTTAGAGCAGCTGGATCTATGGGTTGAAGCTTTGCCCTTCCAACTTCTTCCCCTACTGTTGCTACCACCTCCCAAGCCCTTTGAACTCCCCATCCTACTGCAGGCTCCACGAGAGTTCACATCTGATAGGCCATTTTCTAGAGCTCGAACTAAATTCTCAAAGAAAGTTCGTGTCACGCTGTTGTCACAAAATTCAAACAATTAATTAGAAGAAAAAACGCATACCAATTCTCTCAAAGATGCATAAGAGTACGATAAAACACTTCATTAGAAAGTTAAATAAAAGCATCATCTTTGCATCCCCAAACATGGACCGTGAATCAGAAATGTAATATACAAAAAAAGAAAAGAAAAAAGATAACCATATCCTTCCAACACAATAGCTTAATTCCATGACAAACCAACCAAACAATTTCTTCAATAAAACTTCATGTTAAGCTTATCAAACTCTACTTAATATTAAAATGAATATTACCTGGTCAATCCAGCAAGTTTTGAGCGAAACTCGTTAAAATCTTTTAATGGTGCCTCTGCATTGAGGTAGACCTGAAGCTCCTTCTCTGCACATCGATGAAGTCGTTCTAACCCAGACTCAGCCTCGCCTGCAAGCCATACGAGCAATTGGTGCATACTGAACAGGAATATAAAGCTATAGCTTATATTATAGCAATAGATGGAGCCACATTACCCTGTAGGTATTCAAAGAAGTGCCTTTTAGTATGTTCCTCTTCAGGTAAATAAAATCCGTAAGCATAAGTCCACTTCAGGACTCTCCTACATTCTATTATCTACACAAGCAGAGCAGCTACAATGAGCTAAAGCATGTAGCTAGGGACTACGAAAAGTTTGAAATTTACCTGTAGCCATGCCTCAATGATGAACTTCAGCTGTGATTCAGGTTGACACAGTATCTCACTCAGCTTCTCGAGCTACATTTACATGTCAGCAGTTCCCATAAACTAAAATAATAATAATAATTGTAATCTGAAGCAAGATAAAACACCAAGTGGGAGGGAACAAAACCATTCATCTTGCTTCCTCTCCCTTCTTTTCTTCCCTCTCCATTGTGTTATTAGTGAATTTTTATATTGCAATTATTATTTAATTTTTTTTTGGCAGGGGAGATTGAAACCTAGAGGAGAGGTAGCCAAAATGATGGAGATTGGGGGTGGCTGAGAATGTCTCGCCAAACTCTAAAGAAGTAGACAAAGTGCACTCCCACAAAAACAGGAAAGGGAAGGTCTTTGGCAGTTGCACGTCTTAGTATACATGTCTTCCGGGAAGAGAAGAATTTTCCACAAACACGAAATGCTTCAACAATAACAGAATATTATAATTGCAGAACAAAAATAATGTGCAACATAGTGACCTCATTTTCACGATAAAGGCATTTAAAAATCCAATTAAAGGTTCCATTGGTTACACAAATCTTGACATTTCAAAACGAGTGATACTGCCAAACTTAGCAGATTCAATAGATAAAACTCAGATGACAAGAACATGCAAATCTGTTGAATAGAAACAGATTAAAACCAGTGGTGATAGGTTATAAACTTATACAGAGCATTTAATAGTCTTCAAACCCATTTCCATGACATATCCACAATAAATGGTGCAAAAATAATTGAAGAGACCAGCATCGACAAATAGGAAGTCAGTAACTTTAAGAAGTTTGACTTACATGCACGGACTGCATTTGCTGTAGATCAGCCATTGCCTTTTGCCTAGACTGCATAAGTCGAGAGAAGTTTTAACATGTAAGACACATGGTTTCTCATTCAAGTATATAGTGGCATATCATCACAAAGTATTCCAGAAAAAAAAATATTAAGCAATCAGAAGAAATGGGCCAATAAATGCTACAAATTCTACAAACTAATACATACTAATTGGTTGGTTGCCCATCGTTCATAATAATGAGTGTATTTCTCTACAGATAATTTAGCCAACTCTCTTCGTTTCTCCTCTTCATCAAACTGTAAATAAATAGCATTGATCAGAAAAACATAAAAAGAGGGCAGCTAAATAATGATGCGCAATGAATAATGACAAGAACTGGGAAATGTTGACTGCAAGAATAAGGAATTGCTTTCATACCGTGCCCTCTTTTTTTGCTGTCTCGTAACGGTTGCAAGCATAATAACCACCAGTTACCTCACCATGATCTGTCCATGCACCAAGGCAAAGCCTGCATATATAAGTGGTCAACTGACAGAAACTTTTACACAAAAGAGAGAAAACAAACAGTAAGCACATAAAAAGAGTACAAATATATAAATTTGTTTTTGGCACAAAATCTTTTTAGTAAAGTTTAGGAAAATTGCCCCTAGTTGAGTAGATCATATAGCTAAAGAAAGTAGGCAACCTTAGCAGAATTATTTATATATGTTTGCATTTGGAATAAAAGGGGGCACAAACAAAGACAAATAAGGTAGTGAGGACAGACTTCAATCAAAATACATGCAATGCACATGTATGAAGTATAAGCTCACCAACAAATTCAAATTTACATGGTGGTGTGCATGTCATATGCATACACCCGTGGTTCTTCTCAATTGGGCGCTTGCATTTAGGACAAGGCTTGGAATTAGCCAATATCCTGAAGATTAAAACAGGAAAATTTATTGAGAAACAGAACACTTTGAAAATAAAGCATTGTATAATATATAATGCAGAACAACTATTTAGTAATTGGACAATCACAAACAAGTCCATTTGTAGAAGGGAGAACGAAAAGGAAACTTATTTTAAGAAAGAAATTATCGAAGAAGATCTTTGGAAGGACATATCCCTATGCCCATATTTGAATATGGGTCAGACAATTGTATCATACATGAATACTTCAAGAAAAAATTAAGGGTCAGAGTAACATAACATTTTGTATAGACATATAAATGAGGAATATTTATTTCACTAATTTTTAATAGCAAAATAGTTCAATTCATAATGCAAAAATGATAATGTACAACCATAAACATTACATTACTTATCAAGATAGAGTCCACATTTAAGCTCAGCAGAGGGGGAAGTGAGAATAAGAAAATTGCTTCTGTTAGGTGGCTATTCAGCACTAAACTAGCAACCCTCTATTTGGTATGAATTAAACAATCTAACGCATAGAATAAGAAAAGTTACTATAATCCTGTTCCATACCAATTCATATTTTCAGACTCAGCACTGTTTTTCAGTATCCACTTGGCAACAGTTTCACAATCAACAGGACGGTGAGCTTCTTCAGAGCACTGCAAAGTCAAAATTACATTATGGGTCAAAATTCCTGATTGCAACTTAAAAAATGAAAGAAGAATGAAGCAGGAAGCCATACGCATGAATTGTTAGAAGTACTCTAAATAGAAACAGCACCAAAGGATCTTACATTCCAACAAAAGCTATATGAGCAGTGACACGTGACATCATAGTTTCCACTATCAAAATTAAAATCCACGGCGTAATCACACCCAGGTGCAGGACACCATTTGGTCTGCAAAATAACACAAAAGAATCGAAATGTTATTGATACCAAGAAGGCAAACATGAAATAATGGAGAAAAAAAAAGCTATACGTCTGTTCTTATCAGTGATTTTAGCGCAGAATATATATTGAAGAAATATAGTAAAAACTGAAAAGGAACATAATTGATACATTCATGGTTCTAATCCATGACAAGCTTGAGGAAAACCTATTTATGAAGCTACACAGAGAGAAATATTAGCAATATTTTCATACAATCTTAACAAAGATGCAAAAGAGAGGGAAATAGTTATGAAAACTAGTAATTACAAGGAACTAATTCCCAAGACAACTTGGTTGACGTGCAACAATCAGGGGACCCATAATTGGAATTTGAATAAAAATGTTTTCAGTCATTATGGCTAATTACTCGCATAATTCCCCCATTCCAAACCCTACAAGAATTGGAAAGTGGACTTGGGTTGCCATTGTAATTACAAGTGACTATACACAAATTCAATTGCTGGGTGGTTTTCAAAACTACCTCCGTGTTTTTGTTCAAAAGTGTGTGCGTGTGTATATACATATATAAAACTTTGTTGAGAAAAAGTAATTATAAAAACCAGTAAGCTGGATGACAAATGTGTTTTTTGTTTTTATATAAGCTAGAGCAGAAATAAGAAAATGTGGTTAATATCTTTTTTATGCAAAACTGCTAAAGCACACAACCAATTTTCAATTAATTGCCAATTAGATACTAACCATAGGGAACTAAAAGCCAAAATACAGAATCTTACAACTGCACTCCCAATGCAGTGGCAGCTCGTCCTTCAACCCAAATAACATAAATGAAAAAGAATAAAAAAAATTATATGCATATGTATAAGTAGGCAATTCTGAGAAATCCTTTTGCAAAGGGAAAGTAAATGCACACATAAAATGCTCTACTCATGGGCAATAAGTCCTATTACTCAAAACATTTAAGTATTACCTTCCTATTGTCTTCAACATAAGATCTAATGAAATAACGAGAGTACTTCTCTCTGTCTTCAGCAGAAGCCAATGCATTTATCATATCTTGACCAACAACAGCAGCACAGGATGGATCAGGACATCGCAACATCAAACATCCAGGACCATCATTAATGGCTGTGCTAATATAGCCTAAACAAGGAAAAGATTATATATATATATATATATATATATCACAACTATATAAGAAAAACCCACATGCATAACATATGGAAAGGTTAGTAAACACACAAAAGTTAAAATATTAGCAAATAACTCTCAGATGGGAAAAAATCATTGAGAGGTAAGCCATTTCCTTCACCAAACAATAATTTTTAAAATATCTGCACAATCCTGGTTAACCATTGAGCTTAAAATCATAGAAACTAATCTACAATGTAGATACTCATGCAAACAATAATTTTTAAAAGTACAAGCCCTTTACCCCTTCCCAGACAGCTTAGATATGAGAACTCAATGCTTAAGACAAAAACTCCCAAATCTAACCAACAGCTCTCAAAACAATTCTGAAACTGAAAATTAGAAAGGAAAGGGTCCATTAGGGCATAAGCTTATATAGCAGCATTAATAATAGAACATAACTCTACATAGTGACCAACATTGTTGATCTTTCTTATACCAAATTATGTAAAATGTTCATTTGTATAAAATATACAATATACATGGTATAACAGCAACAGGAACCAGCAGCTTAATTATATCAATGGTCTAATTTCCATAAAATTTCTAGATGCATGCGTCCCCTAAAATCAGTAGGCACCAATATTGATGGTTGCAATATTGATGGCGGAACTCTTATATTGATAATCACTTGCAAGAGTTTTCTGATGTTTCTTTCTTCAAAATACTTTTACCAGTTCCTCATGTAAATTATCAAATAACCATCCCCTTGTGACAAAGCTTGAATATAGATCAAAAATCACATTGTTGGGAATGATTTAAATCAATCCAAGTAAAAAGAACGAGCAATAGAGGGGAAAAGTCATTATTACAAACAGAGAGCACTAAGGGAACCTGTCTACTTGTTTGGAACATGTTGCCAACTTCCAATATAACAGTAAGAACCAGATTAATCAATAAGGAGATCCCATTGTTATGCAACTGAGCGAACCCACAGGTTCTGGAGTGTAATTGACACAGTCCTAGATTCAAAATCCCAAAATCATTTGAGAGGTTTTTTTTTTTATAAGAATTTCAGGCCTCGTTAAAACCCTCCTTCTTGATTAAAGGTGCTTGTAGGTAAGCTCCTTAATCAGCGGAAGGAGGAAAAGAGTGCCTTAGGATTTTATTGAACATAACAATAATATACATAAGATACATTCCTATAAGGGGGTGTTTGGTTCAAGGATTGTGGGATTCCCATGGGATGGGAATCCCACATTCCCATGTTTGGTTGGCCGGGAATCTCATTCCCGGTAATGTTTTTATTACCAATAGTAGATTTTTTGGGATATATTACCGGGAATGTCATTACCTCCCTTCCCTCAGGTATTGTAATATTACCGGCGTTTTGGACTAAAATGCCCTTAAATTTTTATTTTTTTTCAAAAATATCCTTCTTCTGTCATTGAATAATAAAAATTCTACGAATGTTAAATTACAAATTTATCCTTAAATTATTTTAGATTTACAAAAAAAAAGTCTATAATTAAAATTTTATATGAAGTTCAGGGGTTAAAAAAAGTTTTACCCTTTCATTAAATATTTTTTATATTTTTAATTTTGTAAAAAAAATTATATAAATATTATGAATTTAATTTTTTAAAGAAAATATATAAATATTTTACAATTTGTAATATTATACAAATATATAATAAAGACAATTTGGTCAAATATACATTCCAATAATCTTTTATTCCTTTAACCAAACACTGTAATCTTACATTCTTGCTAAACCAACCAAACACAAAATACAACATTCCCAGTAATCCTATTCCCTAGTAATCTTTTATTCCCACTGGTAATCTTACATTCCGTGAACCAAACGCACCCTAAGTGCACTAAACACAGGCAGGTAAACACAAGGCAACCTTGTGACCCATATACATCAACATTTAATCAACCAATTCCTTCTTTAGCTAAGGCATCAGCTAAAATAATGGTATTTATAGAATCAACCAAAAATTCTATTCTATCAGCCAAATGCCTAAAGTAGCATCTTTGATGGGAACAGAAGAAAAAAAGGTTAACGGAACAAGGAGATTAGCTTCAGAATCTTTTTGATAAGAATTGAAGGCCTCGTTAAAAACCCCCCTTCTTGATTACAAGAGCTTGTAGGGAAGCTTTTTAATCAGTGTAAGGAGGAAAAGAGTGCCTTAGAATTTCATTCAACAACTGAAATTACATAAGATACATCCGGAGAAACACCCCCCTTCAAAAACAGAAAGACACAAGACACCCGTAAACAACCAGATACAACAACACTGACTTAGAGATGAATGGAACAGCAGAACAAATTTCATAAACACCCAGGACTTGGAGATGCTAACAAAATAATTAGAATTGCATCCAACTAGAAGCATTCCATACCTTATCTTTGCTAGTTAAGCAGTCCATAAAGAGCTTGAGAAAACATGGAACTTAGATTATATTCCACTGGGGGGAAGAAGTAAACTACATTATTCAGTGAAAGAAAGCCTGCTTCTAGGTTTTGGGAGAAAAGAAAACTTTATTTATCTTCAACTGTATAATGTTTTTTTTCTTATAAAAAAACATTATACAGTTGAAGATAAATAAAGTTTTCTTTTCTCCCAAAACCTAGAAGCAGGCTTTCTTTCACTGAACTTACTGGTTGGTCTGGAAATACAGGAATGAGATTATCTTTGAGAAAAGGAAGTTAGACTCTACTCATCTTTTCTTCTTAACAAGATATAGGTTGTCAACGTGGTTCTCTGCAAAATTTCCTAACTTCTCTATTCCTTTTTACTGTCTCGTGGGGGACCCTTTCTTGGCTGATTCCTGGTCAAGTTGCCTGAAGGTGCCCTCCTCCTCCTCCTCGTGGTGTCCTCCTCCTCCGGGTTTCTTCAAAGTTAACGTTGACGGCGCAATGGATAAACAAATGGATTAAAGGGGGTATTGGTGGTTTACTTCGGGATGCAGATGGTTCTGTGTTGGGGACTTTCTCTGAAAGTGTAGGGTCAAGTCCTCCTATTATGGCTGAGCTACTGGCAATTAAATTGGGCTTACGGTTCTTTATGTTGTCTGTTTGGGGCTGAGGGGGGCGCCTCATCTTGAAGAGTGATTGAGGAATATTATTGTAAGGCATATTCTGAGATGTGTGAATTGGGAGGCAGATGAGTTAGTGAAACTAGGAATTGGTTAATGCTTTTTGTTTTTTCTGGTTTTTCTGTAGGAGGTAATTTCTTTTGGTTATGGTTGTATATGCACTGTCTGTTTCTTTGTATCTTTGATATTATATTGATTGGTAATAAAATTTCTGAGGTACTCTTTTCCTCCTTCCAATGTCCGTTGAGATACTTTGTTGCATTTCGACGGTTATGAAGAGGGGTTTTAATGAGACTTCCCTTTCTTATAAAAAAAAAAGGTGGAAAGAACCAGGCAAAGAGTAGAAATTACTGGTCCTAACTCCTAAGTTAAATGTTTTATTTCCAATAAATTATCTTCCTTTACATACTAGGCAGGATATTAATGTCATTGATATCATCTGGTAATTTAACTCTGGCCTCAAGTAGGCTGTCGGGACAAAGCAATCAATCCAAACCAAAATTACTAACAGTTCAGATTATCACAGCAAAGGGATGTGGTTGGTTGCCACAAAAAAAGAAACAACAATCAAACGAATGACGCTCTAAGAATAGCAGACATTAACATGAAACAAGCAAGGAACTTTTAAGAACCATGATATGAAAATAAAAGTTGTGGCTCTCTCTCAACTGACCTGACCAGCAAGAGTTACAAAAAGGATGACCACATGCAGCGGCATGAAGCAGATCACAAGGATAGTTATCAAAACATATCCCACAAGTCATCTGCCAAAATAAGTGATGTGAAAAAAAAAAAAAAAAAACTGTCCAAGAACATGTAGCAAACACGCACTGAAACTCCTGGCTCATAAACTAAAAGTTAACTCTCATTCGGGTTTGCATCACTTACTTCGCTACCATCAGGAAATGGGACTGCACGCTTATCCAATAAGCCAACAGACCAGCGAACCTTTTCCTCATCTGCAAACCATTCGTCATGTATTTTACTGACGTTCCTGCAAGTCCAAAATAAACATAAATCACTAACAACATCAAGACACACAAATTTATCATCGTCAAGATATAGCAAAAATATATGCATAGTAACCAAAACACTGAAAGACAAAATTCTAATCTTCACTCTGCATTTACATTGCTGCAGTTTTAGGTCCATTAAAAATAGGATTATTATCCTATACAAATGGAATTAACTCCACAAAGGGGTTTAAAAAATACCACATATTACACTTATTTATCTTTTATTTGGAAAAGAATAATAAGAACATGTGCCAGTGTACCAATAATAATCCTTAAAAATAAATTTTCAACCAGTGAAAGCTCTACATATTTCGGAAGGAACAGAATGAAGAGTATATGAAATACAGAAATTATACCAATAGTGATCACTCACCAATTATAATGGCATAGTAGAATGCCTGCTTCAGCCTCTGAGATGGAAAGCACAGTAGATATCCTAGTGATGTCATCCTCTTGACGTTGACGAATATCTACTTCACTCAAAATGGTATAATTTTGCTAAGAAAAGAAGAAACATATTTAGGATAGTCAGCTTCAAAAGAAATGATTAACAGAACAGGGCTCAAAATACACAACTTTTATGTACAAAAGGACGAAAAATGTTAAAAGCTTGTAGGGAAAACCAGTGTTAATATTCAGTCCTATAGCAAAAGGAATGAATGCATGCAGTGCAAATAAAAGAACCTATGACTTATGTAAAACACATTAATTACAAAATCCTCAAAGAAAAAGTGTTTCAGTCTTAGACATTCAGTTGTGCCGGTAACTATGTAACATTAGAGAAAAAAGTAAGGTTTTACAGACATTCACTGTAGAATGTCAAGATATTCCATCAATGCTAACAGTTGATCAGCACAAATACGGATAAAGAAAAGGGTCAGGCAGTTAACCAGTTTAACAAATAAAGCAGGTAATGAGCATCTGCATGTTGGATTTCAACTTGTATTAAGAAATGACACCCAGCATGATTGCATTTTTTCATTATGTTTACACTAAATTGTAAAGCGTAAGCATTACCTAGGGTGCAATGAATAAGGGAAAAAAAGGTACTTTTTTTTCCTATCTGAAAAAAGCATCTAATACCCATTAGCAAGTAGCAAAGAAATGTCATAAAGTTCTATCCAAAAGTAAAATGATTTTGGAGTAGAGACTTGACAGGCGTCTTTGACTTAGAACTTTGATATGGTCATTCAACACCTAAAGAAACTAAAATTCAAGATGTTCGAGGAAAACAATTCAAGTGGCCCATGGAAATTTTACTGAACCAACGGGTTATGTAATCATTTTATTCCGCTATCTAATTTAATTTCCTTTCCATGTAGTAATCTTTGCAATATAATACGATCCATTTCCATCCGCTAACATACTTAGCGCTGCACGTAATTGATAATATAAGTATTCAACAGTTCAATATCTAGTAAAATTTATATTTGCGAAACCAAAAAACTTCAAACTCTTGTGTACATTTTCAAATCTTGAAAAACAAAACCAAAATTAAGCATATTAAGATGACCAATGTTTGCAAATGCAGTTCAATAATCACATGCCGAAAAAGATGAATAATTTGAATGAAATTAGAAACTTTCAAATTTGTACGAAATATTTATACATTTGAAAAAAAGCAACTCGCATCAACAAATAGCAACATAACCCACAAAATCAATACTGAAAAAAAGTCATGAGCTTGAAATTCTAAAGGAAAAATTCTAAGCGAATAAAGTGAAATCCAAAGGAGGAAAAAAGAAGAACAAATACCCGGTGACTATGAGAGGTAAAATCAACGGAATCATCAGAATCGTGGCCGATGAACTCGTAGCCAGCGTCATCGGCATCGGAATCATCATCGTAGGTAGCCATGGCCCCAGCATCATCGTCGCCTTCACTGTAGAAATCATCTTCCCCCGATTCGTTGGCGCCGTTCATATAGAAATCATCATCAGATTCCATTTCCCTTCTGCTGCTGCTTTTTCCCCTTTCCTCCTCCGATATATGTACCAAAAATAAAAAAATAATCAAAAAAGATCAAAGGAAACCAAACCGTAGCAAAAATAGTAAGATGGTGTGAGATCAATGGAGGAGGAATGAATTGTAGAGAAGTATAAGTGAATTGTAAGGTAAAAAGCGGAAATGAAATGGAATCGAAAAGAAAATAGAGGGAATTTTATTGAGCTCAATTCATTTTGGCTTTTGATGGAGTGGACAGTGGAGAATCAAAGAATGTAAACAATTACTTAATTTTACTTTATATGGTTAAAGGGATGATTTTTTTATCGTTCTAATTCGAACATATTTTGACAAATTTGATTGAAAAAAGTCCACTATGCCAGCCTTAGACGTGCAGTTTTAAACATTAATATACGTGTCAAAATCTTAATACTTATAAATATATCACATTTATGATTATGACAAACAAATGATAAAAAAGAGGGTAAATTATGAAAATAATCTTTTTCTTATAGGATGATCAGTTGATTTAAAAAATAAATAAATAATTTTAAAAAATCAATAACAGATTACATAACGGTTAATTAACATGATAATAAATTTAATTTTCAATATTTATAATTTACTTTAATTTGATTTTAGTTCTAAAAAATAATTATCAGCTTTTTAATATCTTATCATTTTAGTTCTCTTCCACGTCTCCAAAATCCAAAGCAATGACAACTCTGATGACTATCCAACAATACTTCCTACCGTTCTTCAACACATTTACCCTTGTGTCCCTAAATGTCAAAAAGTTCCTTTACCTTACTTGCAAGACCTTGTGGATTTTGAAAGATTATTCAAAGCCTACACCTTTATAGGGAATATGAGGGTTCATCATTCTGCCTCTTACTATTTTTGCATTGCAACAATACCAGAAGCATTAGAAACAGGAAGCGTCTCCTTATTTCACACATATTGGCGCATTATTTGTCACATTTGCTGTCATAGAAACAGAATGCAAAACACAACAATGACAAACAACATTTACTCTCATATTCCACCTAATCGCAGTTTCTCAAAACACACGATGCAATTTTGTTATACAAGTTAAGAAAATAATATAAAATTTAAACAAGTTTTCATTTTTTTCCCTCAAAAGCATTTATGTGTCGGCAGTCTTATAAATTATTTTTATTTTGGGTGAAAAAACAGCTTTTTTACAGTGATTTTGGTGCTAAAAACAAGTGTGTGGCATTATTTCTGCTGCCAATAAAGACTTTTGGAGTTGTAGAAGAATTGTCGAAGTTTAACTGTGAACATACCTTGATCCTATGCCCATTACCACTGTTTAACTATAGTTCAACTTCTTTTGCAGACAACTTCCTATGGTTTGTCCTTGATCCAGTTCCTATATCTTCTACAAAGATCTGATTCGAAATTCGAAATATACGAGTACCGTGTTGTTATCAAGCCCCATCCTAATTACCAAAATACATCCACCAATTGAACCAAAATAAAATATATAAGAAATCACAAAAATTGAATCATTACTGATGCTAAATGAAAGAAAGAGTCCAATCCATTGGATGGATATCAAAGATCTCCAGGCATATTCAAAGTTCACAAATGCAATCGGAAGGGTATTGATTAAAATAATTATATTTCTTCACGAATAAAGAAGACAAACAAGAATTCAGTTTATATTTGGGGAAAAAAAACTTTTCTTCTATAGAAGATGCAGATCTTACTCACTGATGATGCAGCCAGTAGCTCACTTTGTTTCATTAACTATGCATGCATGAAGAGATGAATGAAGTTAAGAACTGTGAAGAACCATTTAGATGGCATTTATTCTGTTCGGTAACTAAAACTAGTATTTTTCTTTTCTCCATCTGATTCCACCTAAAAAGAATGTATTACTCCAAAACTGTTCCTGAAATCAAAACATTTCCGAACATTATTTACATTTAAAGGCATAAATATCAAACTTAAATGATCATGTCCTAACAAACTTGACTGACCAATAGAACTCATCCAACCTGCTTGAACCCTGATGCGATCCGGACATCAATTCCACTCTAAAAGGGAACAAATAAAACCTGACCTAATAACCCAACCTCAGCCCAACACCCTCAGTTACAATCTCTATTTTTCTAATATTATAAAAAACCCCTCTAAGTTTCGAACAAGATCCATGTAGGTACATGCGAAGTTTCTTTTATTTGAAGCCTCATGCTATTTATTCTTCAATGGTTACCAACTCTCAAACCTTGTCGAGGTTAGAGTGACAAGCACCTAACCATTGGGGACAAGAGAAGAGTTGGTCGTGTTATTATTTTTTAATAGCACAAAAAAGGAAGGAACCATGAGTTTTAGACAGAGGAAAAGCCGGCACAGATAAAAGAGTCGGCACATAACCATTATCCATACCAATTATGTGGAACTTAAATGGGAAGAAGCGGTCTTTTTTCTTCTTCATGAACACGGTGACTAGCCTGGAGAATTTTTAAAATAGAAAAACATTACATATCGTAAATACGGATAAAAAAACAAAGAGAAAAAAAATTCAACATATTTAATAGAAAACTGCCAGTGAAAGCTCTCACCTCTTCATTGGCTCCAGCAGTCATATTTAGCAACAATGCATCCTTAGACCTGATAATATACATCGGGAGGTTAATGGACAGTGTTCATTGACAATCTTAGTAAGAGGGTTTCAAGACGAGTTCTTAGAGAGTTTTTTAGGCCTTATGGTCAGATTGTGAGAATATTCATTCCGCGGTATTTAGAGAAATCAAAGTACAAGTCCTCAACATTCGCTTTTGTCCAATTTATTGATGAGGAAAGTAGGGAAAAAGCTATCCAGTCTGTGAATGGGAGATGGTTCGATGGGAGGAGATTATCGGTAGGGGTGGCTAAGTATCAGAAGGGAACTAAGAAGGAGGTTGATGATGGGAAGAGTATGTTGAGGTTCAAGTCAAGAGAGCAGGAGTTGGTTTCAAATGGGGCTAAAGGCAAAGTCGATGCAAAGCTTCAGGGATGGCAGAACGTATAAGGAAGTAGCGAGGTCTGATGTAAACAAGAGAAGAGAACAAGAGTCGGAGATGTTGGTGGAGGGCAGCAAACGAAATGCTACTGGTGTGAGGAACGTGTGGGAGATGCATATTGCGACAGACAATTTCAAGTGGGTGAAACGATCATTAACAGGAATAATGAAATCAACTTATGATTATGAGTCGGCAAAGGAAGCCATGGAGATAGAGGGATTGGGAATTCAGGTGTCGAGATGGGGTTATGCATGGAAGGCTTGTATCATCACTTTTAATTCTGTGGATGAATTTTCTTATGCTTGGGAAAACAAGAAGGAAGTGTTGTCCTTGTGTTTTCGATTGGTTAGCTCCAGCAGTTAATGAGAATGGTGTTCCTTTGGCTTTGTGCCAAATAGAACTGTGTGGTTTGCCCTTATTGTGCTGGAATGAGGCTTTCTTGGAGAAGCTCACTAAGGATTGGGGAAGGTTCATTTGTTTTAAGGAAGAATCAAAGATGAGATACGACCTTTCGTCTGCGAAGGTTTTGTTAAGGGTGGAGAGTCCCTTCGATGTTCCAGAAATGGTCATTGTAGGTTCTTATGGTAGATCTTTCAAAGTTAAGATTCTCATGGGGTCTGTGTTGATCCAGCCGAATGAACTGGGGAGGAAGATGGAAGAGAAATTTTTAAACAAGGTGAACAGGGATTCTGTCCTTTCCGAGTCAGAGGGGACTGTGTTCCAGAAAGAGCAGTTGAAGGAGAAGATTTTGCAGAGATTTCTGTGCATAAAGTTACTTCTTGGCTGAATAATGGTCATAATAGTGGTATGAATGGAGGTACTGAGGGTCAGGCTACTTCAAGAAAGTCAAATGCAGGAAAGTCCAATTGTGGGCTGTCAGGTTTAGTGGAAAATAGGTCTGCCCAAGTGGAAGGTCACGTGGGACTAGGTCTGAGAGAAAGTTCTTCTCCCGATGAAAAAAACCAATCTGATGTTAATGAGTCTCCCCTAAACTCTACTATGAAATCTGTCCTTCTGGGCCTGCATATAACGTAAAAAGGATTGGAGACAACTAATTTTCCAGCCCAATAACATTTTAGTCAATCCTTTGGTCCCTGTAGAAGTTGATAATCCTAGGCAAGTGATTATAATTTCAGGGGGGAGAAGGAATTGGTACAAGCTGAGCAGGGCGTCGAATTGATCGAAGAGCAGGCTATTGAGCAGCGGAGTATAATTGAGGATAATGTGATAAATTCTCATAGACAAATGGACATGGATAGGAATAGTGTATCTGCTGACCATGAGGTGGAGGGTAGATTCTTAGATAAGGAGAGCAGTTTGGAGTCTACAAAAAATTCTGGTCAGGGCTTTTCTCGATCAACAAATCTAATGAACAGGAGAAGGTTCAGAATTGCTCCTTGTCATTCGGGTAGTGTATGTTCGGAAGGTGAAGTGGAAGTAAGATTTCATGATAGAATATATAGGAGGGTGACTGGTAGCACGGACAGGGAGTCAGTGGAATACGTTAGGGAGTGTCTCAGCCATCTCAAGAATCTGTTCAAGCCAGGCAGGAAGCGGAACATACTAGGGAAGTCTGTGACATGCTGGGAATTTCCTTTATAGGGGGGAATCAAATTGTAGAGGATGAGATTTTCAAGATGGAATTGTTGGGGATTGGAAAGGCCTCCTGATTGTACCTTGTGGATTGTATTTGGTGTTGAATGTTATTAATTTAAATGTCAAAACTAAAAATTATTACATGGAATATTAGGGGCTTGGGAAGTCTGAAAAAATCAGGGCAGTGTCGAGGTTGGTTCTTAGAGAAAAGCCGGCTATTTTACTACTTCAAGAATCAAAATTGAATGTCTGTAGAAGTGGATTAACAAGAAAGCTTGGGGGTAATCTGCTCAGAGGCAGCTGTTTTGTTCCAGCTGATGGTTCGGCAGGAGGTCTAATATGTTTATGGAATGAGAATGACTTTGAGGTTAGTGCACAGATTAACAGTGGTAGATTTATGGCATTATCAGGGAAGTTTAAGATGAGCAATTTTGAATGTGTCATTATCAATGTGTATGGTCCATCAGTAGAGGCTGATAAAGAGGAATTTTTTAGGGATTTTTTATGTGCTGTTCAAAGCATCAACTTGCCGGTCTGCTTGGGGGGGACTTTAATGCTTATCTAGACCCTGAGGAGAAATGGGGTTTACTCAGAATTGGCACTCTATGGATCTGCTTAGGTCTTTTATTCAGTCTTCAAATTTGATGG